ATATATATATATATATATATATATATATATAACTGAGAACAATAGAACATCCGACGGTACAATACCCTGTGAGTACGCGCTGCATTCTACGACGTCCTGCGGCGACAGCTCCACCTGCTGGCTGTTGTTGGTAGTGACGCGCAGTCTGGCTTCTATCATGCCCACGGAGGAAAACGCATAGCAGCTTCCGCACGCCTCTGTCAATAAACGACGATGCCATTCCGGACGATGAGTTAATTTCGCATCTCGAATGAGCGGCGTGTATTGCGGGACGCTTTAGTGATGTATACACTGCTAATGCGAGGTCATAACAAAAATGTCGCAAGCTTCAGAGCGCTTGCTTCGACGTCTTTCAAGCACGCACAAACCGTTTCCTCATCCGCCAATGCCGCAGCGTACGACGGGCGCCTTTAAATTTTAAGTGAATGTTAAGAGGATGCTGTTTTCCAAGGTAAACAGCTAGATTGTTACGTTGCTACATCATACCGGCGTGCCTGGCAAGCGTTTGCTGGCGGAGAGCTGTGACCTCACTACGAAACAGGGTTACTGAGCATGTGCGGTCTTGTGCGAGTTGCTCGTTATTCTTAATAGATCGTTTCTTATTTTAAACTTGTGCACCGCTTTGAGGCACAACGCCAGGAGTGTGGGTAATTAATCATGTTGCCTAGGAGAAGGCAAACTGCATGCAGCGCCCCCCTTCGTACACTCAGGATACCACTGCCACAATGCTAGCACTATTTTTAAAGTGGGTGGAGCTCCGGGGAAATCCAGCGAATGGAGATTTTTTTATAAAATAATGGTTGGATTTTTAATATCTTTGCAACTTTTATTAGTCCAAATCTTATTACATAGGATACGTACGAGTAACGTGGCTGCTGTAAAACTTGTAGTAAAAAACTAAAAGCTTTACAAATTGTAACGGAAATCTGCTTGTGGCAGTGGTAGATTGAGCCCATGAGCGAGAGCGCCATCTGTCGTGGAGTTTGAGGAGAAGGGGGGCGCAAAGAGCCACGTGAGTGGTGTGTTCTGGGAAGGTGGCGGCCATTTACCATGTACTGTGTCTACATTTCTCTGTGGTTGGGGAGGGCAACATACTGCCCCCCTTGCCC